CTTCCTCTTTTATTTACAACATTGACATGGTCTTCGATACACCAACTACCATGAACAATCATTTTCAAGCTCTAAATACACATAAAATCAACATCTACATCTTCATATTCATATTTCTTACACACACAAACCAATTCTCTTTCACTTTCTCTCTTATTCCATCCAAAAATCTCTACCTTTTGATTTCAAAAATTTATAAGCTTCTTAGAGTTACTTAAGCTTCGCAGACGACATACTAATTTTTGGGATGGTACTTGGGAAAGAATGAGTGGGTAACACTTATTAAGAAGTTATGTGTGCTTAAAGAAACTAAAATGAACCTCATTGGATCTCAAAATAATCTTGATTTTTTTTATCAGATCTGTTTCGTGAAGAAGACTTCCCTACCCAGAAGATTTCTACGGAAGTCTTCTGGTCAACACTTAGTTCTGTAATTTACTTTCTGTGCATTTTTCAGGGAAGACTTCTCGGGAAGTATTCTAACTTTTCTTTGTTAGCAAACAAAACGAGTAAACTTTCCTGAAAGTCTTCTCGGATATGCAGATTAGTTTTGGAATTGACCGAATTGTGTCAGAAATTTGACTTTTTATAGAAGACTTCCATGGAAGTATTCATTTGGAAGACTTCTAGGGAAGTCTTCTCAACTGTTACATGAAGTCTGCTCATTGTCAGTGGAAGTCTGTGTAGGTTAGTTTTGTAATTGACAATTTAAAGTAAAATATTTAATTTTAATTAGAAGACTTCCTTGGATGTCTTCTCGATTATTATTTAGGAATTCTGTTTAAACCTTTTGTTATTGAAGAAGACTTACACGAAAGTCTTCTGCGAGAAGACTTCAACAGAAGTCTTCTCTGAAAATGTCAAATTGGTCAACTGCAAAAGTAACCTACATAGACTTCCACCGACCGTGAGCAATTCATGTAAGAGTTGAGAAGACTTCCCTAGAAGTCTTCCGTCGGAATACTTTGAAGGAAGTCGTCTCGAAAAAGTCAGATTTTTTAGACAATTTGGTCAATTGCAAAATTAACCTATTTGTCAGAAAAATTTTCAAAAGTTTTTTAAATACAAAAGTAAGCCAATATTTACAAAGGAAAACTCCTAAGAAATCTCAAATATCTGACTTCCTAAGAAGTCTAGCAGACTTCTCCGGAAGTCTTCATTTGTAAATTTGCGATTGCAAAACTAACCTAATGGAAGACTTCCATGGAAGTCTACTCGAAGAAGACTTCCGTGAAAGTCTTATACGTCAATTTTTAGTAAACTTTCATTTTCTCTATAATTAAAAATATTTTCAAATTTTTTCTTGTTAATTCTTGTATATTAGTCGATATTAGGACTCCTGAATGAAATTCATAACTTAATTGGTGATAATTATGAGGTTACAAATATTCATGTTTAATAATGTTTCTAGTTAATGAGACCTAAGACTTAAGAAGTCTTTTCTCAGAAGACTTATGTGGAAATCTTCTACGTTCTTTTTTTTTGTAAAGTTTGTATTTTTAATAGTGTTAAATAACTTCAAGGTATAATTTTAAATTTCAAAAATGCTAAATAGTTTCAAAAATAACAAGTCATGTGGCTTAATTTGTCTTCTTGGATAATAATATATACTTTTAATTTTCATAAGATTTAAAAATTTCAGTTTTCATTTAAAATTTAAGTTTTCTGCTTAAAGTTTCATTTCCCGCTTAATATCCTGCTTAAATTTCCTGCTTAATTTGCGATACATCTTCCGAGAAGTCTTCTCTAAGAAGACTTCTTTAGAATTCTTTTGAGAAGACCTCTATAGAAGTTTTCTGAAAAGTCTTCTATGAGAAGACCTAACTTATTTTATGATCAAATTTTTAAGGATTTTTTTAAGAACTCTTATGTTATTGATAATGTTAGAGGAATATTTCTAGTGAAGTCATCCGAAATGTCTTCTATTGAGACTTATGTATTGTTTGATTGTTTATGAATTTGACTAAATTTTCTTTTAATTATTTCTCCATATTTTTAGTAAATTTAATTAAGTTTTTGTGTTGTTGTATTTTACTATGAGTGGGTAGAATGGTACAAAACTTCTTACTATGTTGTATCAATAAATTCAATAATGTCAATTAATTTTGGAAAAATAATATTGTAAATATGAACATATTTTCTAAATTATTTTCATTAACATCTCTTCAAATTAAGAAAACAATTCTCAACTAAAAGAGTACACATACTAATCATAAAACATACCGTACAAAATAATTAATACACATGAAAGTAAGGTCATTCTTCTACATATATAAGCTTGAACTTCACTCAAGTGAGATATTTTTTTTGGTTCATAAAACTTCCTGGGAAGTCTTCCGAAATATTCTGAGAAGTTTTCCAAAATTTGTATCATGACTAAAAAAACACTTGCACATCCAAAAACGTCCAAATTATACCCAAACAAAGAAACGTTTCAAAAACAATTTTTAATACTTCAATAATAAATAAAGCAGTTACACTATGTTGAATCTACAACATTTTAGAATCTTACATATAAAACACACACAAATACATATCCCAAATTATAGATCTACCTTTAAATGAGTGAAAGAAAAGAACCATGTAATGAAAACTCTGAAAAACAAGATAAATTAGTGAGAAAGACATAAGAAATATAGAAAATTTGATAGAAAGTTTGGTGCTTTCAACTTCAAAGAGATTAAAGAGAGGTTGGAGAGTTTTGATGTGAGAAATATTACATTTTTGTTGCAACCATTTAAGAGAAAGAGAAAAAATGTGCAACATTTCCTTATATATAAAGACAGACATTCTAATTTGGTGAGATTTTTCCGGTTCAGAAGACTTTCCTAGAAGTGTTCCGGCATAAAATGCATGAGAAGACGTGAGAATTTTTCCAAAATCTGATTCAGATCTGAAAAAATCTGTATATCCAAAAACGTTCAAAATGCATCAAAACAGAGAAAAAATTAAACAATATATTTTTAATGCTTAGATAATAAATAAAACAGTCACATTATGTTAAATATACAACTATTTAGAATCTAACATATAAACACACACAAAAATATATATCCAAAATTTATATATCTACCATTTGAGGAGTTAAAGATTAAAACCATGTAATGAAAAACCTGGAAACGATATAAATTAGTGAGAAAGACTTAAGAAAAAAGAAAAATTGATATGAGATTTGGTGTTACCAAATTCAAAGATATTAGAAAGAAATTAAAGTGTTTTAGAGTGAGAAACATCACACTTTTGTTGCAGCCATCTGAGAGGAAGAAAAAGAATGTGTAAATTTCTTTATATATGGAAACAAAAATTTTGATTAGGTTAAACACTTTCAGTACGGAAGACTTTCATGTAAGTCTTCTAATATAAGATTTAAATCTTCCAACTAGAAGACTTCCTAGGAAGTATTCTAGACCCTAAATTTATTATTCGTCGAGAAGACTTAACTTGAAGTCCTTTAGTACATTATTTGTTAGAAAGCTTTACAATATGTCTTCTAAACCCTAAAATCAAATAATTAACTAATAACAATAAACACTTTACTAAACTTAGAATCAAACTTTAAAGTGTTTAATATAGACAAAATAAAATACATATAAGTCATATTTAAATTTGTTTTACTAAATTTAAGATTCCAAAACCAAACCCAAATAATAGAAACAATATTATAGGATATGTTATCAAACCCTAAACCAAAGAATATCATGAGTCAATCTATATTCACTCATTTATGTTGAAAACAATTCAATTTTAGTAAACCTAAAGTTACATCATTTACAAATGTCTATAATTACATGATTAAGATTTTTTTCCAATCAAAATATTTTTTATACAATTTAAAAATATTTTTAATATCTAATACATGAGAAGACTTTGAGAAGATTTTCTGGAAAACTTATTCGAAGATTTAGTGGGAAACCTAAATTCTTTTAGAATTTAAGCAGGAAATGGTAGACTCTGTTATTAAGTTTTACAGGAAGTCTTCTAGTGCATTATTTGATTTTGGGAAGTTTTCCAAACCCAAAATCAAATATTTAACTAAATCACAAACAAAAATTTTATTGAACCTAAAATCAACTTATAAAGTGTTTAATATACACAAAACTAAACACATATAGGCCGAATTTAGTTTTCTTTTTTCAACTACAAAAACTAAAAAACTTCAGATTCCATTATTATGACTCCACTTACATTCACTTATCTATGTTGAAAATTATTGAATTTAATAAATCTAAACTTACTTTATTTACAAATATCTGTAATTACATGATTAACATTTTATTTTTTTCTAAAATTTCTAAATTATTTTAAAAATTTACTAAAAGTCTTCCCATGCGTAAGGTTATAATGGTAAAACTCAATATTTGTTTTTTGTTTGTTTATAGGAGATTGATTCTAATTTCACTAGCCTTTTAGGTTACTTTAGCATTTGATTGAAATTTTGATATATATATATGTTTGTATGTAAAATCAAGTTATAAGTTATATTTGGCAATCTCCGAAATAACGCCTTTTCGTTGGCTGATTTAGTAGACTGACGGGCAATCTCAACAGTGAGCATACAGACTTTTTAGTATTAGTAGATATGCAAACTTTAGTGCCCTTCTAACAAAACATGAAAATATTTATTGGCCAACGTAGATAATCTTCGTCGATCAGAAGCCGCCATACACTGCTCCTGAGTTTTTCCAAATAAATGAGGATTCCTTGTTCCACCTTTCCCATGCGTCTGTCTGTTCAATGTTCTTGCCCATAGTATTTAAATATCATAGGTGTATTTTTTATATATAAAAAATAAAACAGAAAACAAAATAGACACCCAATGCCTTTATGTGTCTCCTACTTCATGAATTATTTTCTAAAACAACCCATAAAACTCAACCTCTCCCATGTGCCCTCACATGCTTTCCAATGAATTACCAGTCATTTGATCTATTTTCTTTTAAGTTCCATTGAGCATTGTGCACAACAAAAATAAAACGCCCACTTTTGATATCACATTCACTATGGATCTCTACAAAAGCAAAGCAACAACAACCACCGTTACTCTCTCATGTCTTCTCCTCGTTTCTTCATACTACACCATCTCCACCTGTAAATCAGCCACAGATCAACCCTCGTCCCAGCTCTTTCTATTTGTGGGATTCGTTTTGGCCGCAGCTTTGTCGCTTCTGATACTTGTCACTGCTGCACGAGCCACCATGGTCGCGTGGATAACGGTGATTGTCTTGCTGGCTTTCTCGGGTACACGGCGCCGTGTTCTGGCAAAGCGGGGGAACACAATAACGACGGACGTGGCTATGTGCTTGGTCAGGGTTCTGATTAGGGAGGCAGATCCTCGCGGTTAGTCTGATGGGGTTAGCACGATGTTAGAGAGTGTATTTACTATTTACATATCATCGTTGTATATAACTTAAAAGTACTCCTTTTGGTGAATGATTTACGGTTTTGTTTTTATTTTTATCCAATGTACGTTTCTAGTATCTAAAAATATGTGTGTGGAATTCTTCGAATGTTCATTAACTTCTAGTCAAGTTATGAGTACTTCTCTCTGTTTCATAAAATGTAATTTTAGGTTTACTTTTTTTTTTTTTAATTTCAACAGATGTCCTTCTAGGTTTTCAATGTAATTTTAAACACCAAATTCAATTTTTATCTTTTGAATCACCAATAAGTTTTTTTCTTAAATCATTTTATTTAATTAATGACTAGATTTTGACCCACGCTTGAAAAGAGCGGAAATTTTTTTTAATTAAAAATTTATATAATTGCGGTTTTGTCTTAATTTAAAGAATTTTTTTGGTATAAAATTAGTTTACCAAAATTTATGGTGATAGTTGTTTTTCATTAGTTTTTAGTTACAATTTTTATTTTTAGATTTTGTTTTAAATTTTGATTTTTGGTTTTTAGTTTTTAAGTTTCTATTTTTGATTTTCAGCTTTTGGTTTGGATTTTTACTTTTTATACCCACTGAGTTAGTTTGAACTGATATTACCAACAAACAAATCTCAATTAATCAAACATGTAATTTAAAACTGAAAAGATGACAAAATAATTTTTAAAAAATTTTGAAATAGTTTATTTTGTAAATAAAAAAGCAAAAAATATAACTTGCGTTTTCAGCTTTTGGTTTTGGATTTTAGTTTTTAGATTTGGTTTTTGGTTTTGCTTTACATTTATTTTAAATCTGTAAATTATTTAAGAAAAATAAAAAAATAAATTATTTAAAAGTTACCATTAAAATTTATCAAGATAGAGTGATTGTTATTTAAAATAAAAAAAATATTAACATGTTTTAAAGTACATGATTTAAATAAGTGATTAATAATAGATAATTTTGTTTTGTTGAAAGTATTAAATATTTTTGGGCTAAAAAATATTAACATATTTTAAAGTACATGATTTAAATAAGTGATTAATAATAGATACTTTTGTTTTCTTGAAAATATTAAATATTTTTGGGCCTGAAAATAGTAATTGATTTTTGATCCATTAAGGTGGAAAGTTTATTTAATCTTTTTTGGAGTTTTTATTTAATACTAAGCCCAAAAACCAAACAATTAAATGTCATAAAAACAAAAGTAAGCCCAAAACTCTATTCCATAAATAACCGCCGGTTTAATTTAAGTAATACGGTTCAATCAATTATATAATTTGTATTATTTGTAACACTCTAGAAAGGGTCCAAATTTAAATGACAACGTGTATCAGTAGATAAAAAGAATGACTCTATTTTAATAGAATAGATACATTAATAACCTATTAGTATATTTTATAATATATTCTATTAATTTGAATAAAATATGTTAAAATGATATTTTTTGAGAAACGGAGGGAGTAAATTTTAGGGTCAGCAATCACAAAACAATTTAAAACACATTCAACAAATCCCCAATATATTAAAAGAGGAGCATTGTTATTCAATACTTTAACACTACATTGGACACCTGAAAGTTTCACATCGATTTCAATTTAAGTATGCTGACATATCGGTCTCACAATCATTTGATAATTAATGTTTTCACATTTTAATTTTTAACTCCACCTCAGAGAATTTAATGTGTTTACACTATTTTTTAATCAGTTTTTTAGTGAATTTCAATCTCCCTCCATACAATTACAGAATAATATCATTTTGAAAGAAATAATTTACAAAATCATTAAGGTTCGCATCAACTAAAATAATGGAATGAGAATGTTTTTAGAAATAGAAAGTTTCATATATTGTCAAACTTAAGTATGGTTGAGGCTTTTGTACACGAATGCAATAAATACTTGTGATGGATTATGAATTTAAAAAAACTAAAGTAAACAACAATAAACAACAATAGACGCACAATTGATTGTGTTTCAAAAATAAAACAACAATAGACACACAAAGTCTTATATTTAGTTCAGCCAAATATTGTTTTTCCTTACAAAAGTTTCAACATTTAACCGGAAATAAGAAACATAATCAAATTAATAAAAAAAAAAGATTTGTGAAATCGATTGAAAAATAGAATTCTTGTGCCGAGTATGGTGATCATATTATTTTCCATGCATATGTAACACGTTTCACTCTATTGTATCATATTTTATTATATTTATCAAGACTTTTTTACAAAAACACTACAAGAAAACTCGTCCAATACTAGGACGAGTTTTCTTCGTTAGTTCCTAGTAAATGAACATTTACTAGGACCTTACGAGGAAACACGTTTCCTCGAAACAAGTTCATCGTAAAGCCTTTTTCCTCGTAAGGTCGTAGCTAATTTACGAGGAAACGTTTCCTCGTAAAGGCGTGGTTACCTTTTCCTCGTAAGGTCCTCATAAGATTTTCTCGTAACTTCATAGTAAATGATTTCCTCGTAAGCTCGTAGTAATACATTACAAGAAACTTACTAGAATAATTTACGAGGACATTACTTTGAAACCTTTACGAGGATTTTACTTCGAAATATTTTTTTCCTATTAAAAAAAATAATTATAAATATAAATAATATATTTAAAAAAAAAATCAAATTATAAATAAAAAAAATATTTTATAAATAACTAAATAATATACAATTAAGTTTTAAAATTCATAATATACAATTAAAAATAAAAAAAACTACGGATGGTGCTCGTGAAATTGCCGAACGAAATTGTCCTGGCTCGCCAAATCCTCCTCCTCTCCAAAGTTGGTTGCCGGCTGTGACTGTGATGGTGGAGGCTGTTGGGTTGGAAGCCCTCCGCATTCCCCTCTCTGACGCAACATCTCCTCCAATTGCGGGTTTCCAACCGCCAAAATGTCGAGGACATCGGTGAGAGAAGTCACATGCTCGGTTAGCGAACTCACATGAGACTGCGTCGCCTGCAACTCCGTCGCCTGCAACTCCGAGCAGCTGAGCATTGCCATCATGCTGCTCCTGAGCATAAGAAGATGTCGCTGTGGGGACATCGTTAACCGAGCCAATCCCGACGATATTCCCCTTTTTCCTAGGGGTGACCTGTAAATAAAAATATTAATAACGTTAAGAAATAATTTAAATAAATATTAAAAATTAATAGTAAAAAAAATTATTTACCTCCTCGTAAATCTTATCCACTTAGAGTGGAAAATATGACTGAAGTCCCAGTCTGCTGAGTCAGCTGGGTTTGGCGTTCATCAACTCGGGCAACAACCTCGTTGTAGATCCGCTCGGAAGCAGGATCTACAAACTGCCCAGCCTTGTTCCGGTGGGTCCTCTCGTAAAGGTCTTTCACAGATGGAAGAACTCTTGTCTCTTTAGCCTAAAACTAATTTTTAAAATTAAATATTAATTTGGAATATTCAAATAAAATAAAAATTAAATAGTTATTAAAAATCATCTTACCATGTCTAGATGAACTCCCCCGTGAGGTTTTCGACCTGTGGTGTGAAGCATCTTTGTGTTGCCATGCTCGTCTCTGGTCATGCGGCTCCAAGAGTTTGTGCGGGAGGTTCTGACCGAGTCTGGCAACCTTCAAAAGCTGATGAGGCCATCCCACACTGTGGTTGTGAAGCAATCAGGTTTCCCGTCCTCGTAACCATCCACCTGATTTTAAATATTAGAATTAAAGTCAATAATATTTTTAAAACTATATATATATATTATAATTTCTAAATTCATACCTGATAGTCGCACTTCCAGTTGTAGACTATGTCGAGCAATCGTGCTCTTGCCTTGGCCTCAAACTCCGTCTTCACCCGCTGGTGAATCCCAATAGACCAACGATATTTTTGCTGTAACTAGAAAAAATAAGAGACAGATTAGTTCAATAATATTAATAATTTTAAATAATTAAAAATAAATTAAGTTGATTAATGAAACTTACAGCGAACGATTTGAACCACGTCTTTTTTGTGTGGCTTGCCGTCTTCTTCCAGTTTGGAGCTGCATCGGGAAAGTATCCCTTGATACTGTCTGTGACGCTAGTTGCGACACATCCGTCAAGACCAAACCTGGAAAGACACAAAATAAATCATTAATTAGATTAATTTGTAAATATTTTGTTAATTAAGAAATAAATTTAAAACAATTTTTAAAAATTAAAACATACCATAATACGTTTTGGCCGTCCCGTCGGATAGAATCTAACTCTAGCAGCCATTCTCTGCCTGATGCATAAACGTCTCCAACCTTCGAGAAATTCTTTCGTCACCCTCCCGTTATTATCTCTGTGTGAATACATCCACTTCCGCAACTCGGAAATATTTCCCGGACCAGACATATTTTTTTGTGTTTGATCAAGCTTATAGCTGATTATTTTTTGGTGTGTTTCAAATGAATCACAATTGTGGTATTTATAGAAATTTTCAAATCTGAGCATTTACTAGGAAATTTCTAGGAAATGTAGGTACAAAACACGTTTTTGATTTAAATTCGATATTTCCTATCCAGTTCCTCCTAATTTCGTAATAACAAATCTATTCCTCTTAATTTCGTAGTAAGACAGTTTCAAAGTCTTACTAGGAAATTACGAGGAAATGGACTTTTGCCACGTAATTTCCTCGTAAGCTTACTACGGTGTTACGAGGAAATATGTTTCTCGTAGCTGTACAAGGACCTTACGAGGAAACAAGTTTTCCTCGTAAAATCGAAGTAAGTTCGTAGTAAATTTACGACGAATTATTTTCCTGGTAAAATTTCCTAGTAACTTCTTAGCTTTCTTGTAGTGAAAATACACATTAGTGGTTATAGACTACATCAATTTTTCAATATGCCCAAAACGGCAAACCTTATTATTGGTATTATTAGAGTATATTCCAATAATTATGTATGTTAAATAAGCCGAAAATATTTATTTTAAATATATTTCATTTGCTTAATATTAGTAGAAGAAAGTAAGTCTAGGAAGAATATTTGGATCTGTAGAACTGAACCGAGCTAGAATTCAAAGTAATATTAAGCAAAAAAAATAAAATTGGTTAACTACTCAAATGGATCTAAAAGTTTAATGTTAAGATAAACAAAACATTTAAAAATTTAATGTTTAAATTTATATCTATTAGATAAACAAAATTTATGAAAATATTTAAAAATCATCAATATAGTCACAAACATATATCTGAAAAAAAAACAGAAAATATTCAAAATACTGAAATTATTTA